TATCTTTAAGAAATTCTTGTACATTTTTCGTTTTACGGTTTTAGAGAAGTAACTTTAGAGAATAAATTACTAAACAATGTTATAGTATGGGTTAGTGTTTTTTGAGTTGCGAGAATGTTTGCATTCTGTCCATGAGAGCCGGGTTCGAATCTCACCATGGTCGATTTGTCAGTAAGGCAACATCCAGATGTTATCGGACTGTAGGGGTCGTTGGAATGTGCATGAAAACCATACCACGGGTTGACCCAAGCCTTGTGAGTAAAATTGGCTAAACGGGAGCCCTTAGGAGCCGTCGATAGATGTGCTAGCACAAAATCACAAGTCATCGTGACTGAGGGCTTGAGCGTGCTGGCCTTATTCAAATTGTTGATCCCGCTAGATGACATTTTCCCTCGGCATAGTTGCATGTTGAATAAACACAAATGCGCTTGAGCAAGCGTCTGCAATAGGGATTGTCTAGCCGCCCTAGTAGACAGGTGTCCTTGAATACGAGTAGCCAGCTATACATAAACACACACACACACACATATATATATATATATATATATTGTTCTCTTAGCTGACATATTACGCATTTCTTTCTGCTGTGCGCCAACGGCTTAGGGGTAGCATCTCTGACTGATCCCGGCTTGAAGCAATCGTACATCTAGCTGTCTGTCTCTTGATGACTATATATATATATATATATATATTTATTTACACGCACACTATCTCTGATATTAAGCACTTTATCCCATAAATATAGCACATCTTAGCACTATATTTATATATTTATATATATATATATATATATATATATATATATATATATATATATATATATATATGTATAATTATGAAAATACTAACTAGAGTTGAATTAGACCAGGAATAACACGTATAAAGAAAAGAAAATGAAATAAGCATTTAACATGCAGATCTTTTGAATTAAGAAAAAAAAGGAAATCAGCCGATCACGCTACCTTGGTTTCACCCTTTCGATATCTTTAGGCGATCCGTGCTAAATAATTTCCTAACGCTTTATTATTTAAAAATAAATAAACTTACATATGGGCATGTGAAAATGTACATACTTTCATCCTGGTTCGCACGAACTCAAAAGGGACATGCATACGCATGCATTGTGTCATTAATTCCGATCTCTCATTCAGAGGGTTTTTCTAGTATGGAAATGTTATTACTGTTAATTTCATATAGACCACTCCTATTCAATTTCAATACTTTTGCTTTCCTCCTCCCATTCTATCATATTTCACGTTGGGCGTTGATTTATATACAGTCATACAAACATATACAAACGATAGTGTTACAGCAAGAATGTTCGGTCTAACTGTCAGAACTGACTGCTGGAAACTTCCCTCGCTAAAAGGCAGTACCTGCTCCTATTTATACCTCTGTGTGTGTGTGTGTGTGTGTGTGTGTGTGTGTGTGTGTGTGTGTTAATAATTAATTCTGAGTCATGTTTCATGGCTTCACCAGGTACACAAGTTACGAACTGTCCAATACGGTTGTTTTTTGCTTTTTTTTAAAAATTTCTGGGTATCATCAGAGCAACATTGTGCGTGGATTCAAACTTCAAGATTATTATAAATATAATATAGCACTGGGGTATAAATATAATATAGCATTGGGGTATAAATATAATATAGCATTAGGGTATAAATATAATATAGCACTGGGGTATAAATATAATATAGCACTGGGGTATAAATATAATATAGCATTAGGGTATAAATATAATATAGCACTGGGGTATAAATATAATATAGCACTGGGGTATAAATATAATATAGCATTAGGGTATAAATATAATATAGCACTGGGGTATAAATATCATATAACACTGGGGTATAAATATAATATAGCATTAGGGTATAAATATAATATAGCATGGGGTATAAATATAATATAGCATTAGGGCATGAATATAATATAGCACTGGGGTATAACTATAATATAGCACTGGGGTATGAATTCAAGTTATAGAATGTAGGTAGGTAGATATCGAAAAATAAATTTAAATTTCTGGGTATCATCAGATCAACATTGTGCGTGGATTCAAACTTCAAGATTATTATTAATATAATATAGCACTGGGGTATAAATATAATATAGCATTGGGGTATAAATATAATATAGCATTAGGGTATAAATATAATATAGCACTGGGGTATAAATATAAATATAATATAGCATTAGGGTATAAATATAATATATCACAAGAAAGTCTCCCCTCAATATTTCAATGCTGGCTCGAGCAATTAGCATAACATCTCCTGTTATACCTACATTGACCTAACTCTGTTACCTGTTTTTTTTATTATTTTTTCATATCCAGTTACCTCCCTTGCGACATCCTGGGATTAAACGTTTTTTATACACCCACGTTCTTTTTTTTTAATTTGTTTTATTATTTTTTAATATTCTTTATACATTTTTTTACTTTATTTTACCCTATAGCCATTTTTTTCTACCCACATTTTTATATGGTAACTATCAACCATTTTAGTTCATATTACAATAATCCTTTCGAGTTTCATATACAATTTTTGGGGCGTAATCTTGTCTAAAGATAGTACCTGGAACTCAAAAATCCACACAAGGATTGCCATGGCAGCGATGGCCAAATTGATAAGAATATGGAGTCACAAAATTAGCTTTCAAACAATGTACAGACTGTACAAATCGCTGGTTGTCTCCATTTTCATACATGTATGAAAAACATGGACACTTGGAAGATAGCGAGAGAAGGATCGAAGAATTTGAGAACCAATGCTTGAGAAAACTCCTTGGTATTTTCTATTAGGAACAGAAAATCAATGAGTTTTTGCGGCAAAGTCTTCTGGACCACCAGGAACCTTTTCTGGCTACTGTCAAACGGAGAAAAATGGCATTTCAAGACACGACAGCTTGTGCAAGACCATCATGCAAGGAACAGTTGAAAAGGGACAAAGGAGTGGACGCCAACGTAAAAACTGGTTGGATAATGTCAGACAATGGACAGGTATGACTGTACCAAAATTGCTTGATAGACCGTTATGGAAAAGAGTGTGGCTTCCGCATTCGTATCCACCCTACGGTTACAAAAGTCAAGGGGATGATAATGATAATAATAATCTCATCTAGATACACATTAACGGATCAATATCCCTATTAAACTTACTATTAATAACTTAGTTTTTTTTTTCGATATCCACATACCAATACTCTATATTTTGAATGCTACATTACCATGTTTCAAAAACAGAAACTAAAAACTTCAAATTCAATTATATAATTAAATTAAAAGCATTAGTTCTGTTTCATCTTCAAGCAAATTTTGGAAATATTTCCAAAATTCGCTTGCAGATGAAACAGAACTTATACTTTTGATTTAATTATAATTAAATTTGAATATAATAATTTATATAAATGCTTTTAATTTAATTATATAATTGAAGTTTTTAGTTTCTGTTTTTGAAACATGGTAAGTCCTGTGTAGCGATGAAACCATATCAGTTAATTTATAATATTTATCCTCTGTAAATTTATACTGAGCACTGTTTTGTAAAAATAAAAAATATCAATATCATCACCGGATTATATATCTTACTGTTCTTTCTTTTCATTATAATATATATATATATATATATATATATATATATATATATGTGTGTGTGTGTGTGTGTGTGTGTGTGTGTTTGCTACGCTCAGGAATGTCTACGTTTATTTAACAGACAAGAAAAACACCTTACGTAATCATCGTATCAATACTAATATTGCTAAGAAAAACAACAATAATAACAACAACAACAGCAATTATAATAATAATAATAATGTTATTATTAGTAGTAATAGTATTTCTAAATCTATTATTAGTAATCACTGAAGGGCTAAATAATAATAATAATAATAATAATAATAATAATAAATGCGGAAGAATCTTGAAAATAAAGAAAGGTATGAAGGAAAGATTGAAAAGAAAAAAGTGGCAATTCCCCAAAGCTTCCTCACTTTGATGCAGGCAGTCATATATATAATGGCGAAGATCGTGATTTCTAAGCAAACATCAAAAGGTTTTATTAGCGTCGAAATGTAATCATGCCTCCATTTTAATTACAGTTCTCTCCCCTGGCTTTTCCCCCGGAATTTTGCCGACGGTTAGGACAACAATTTAAAGAACGTCGGAAAAATGACGACTTTTGTTTCTTTTGGGATTTTGAAAAGAAAATTTGTTTTATGTTATCTGACAGAGATATTTTACTATCTCAGGCTACCTGCCCACCAACGGTGTGATAGATAAACGTAGAGAACGAGTTAAAAAATATATCACACCGTCTATCTATCTATCTATCTATCTATCTATCTATCAATTTCATTCTGTTTCTATCTATCAATCTATCTATTTCAGTTTGTTTAAATCTATCTGTCTATCTATATCGATCTCTCTAAGTTTGCTCATATCTATCTATCTATCTATCTATCTATCTATCTATCTATCTATCTATCTATCTATCTATTTCATTCTGTTTCTATCTATCTATCTATCTATCTATCTATCTATCTATCTATTACCATCTCTCACCCTCTCTCTCTCGCTCTATCTATCTCAGTATGTTCATATCTATCTATCTATCTATCTATCTATCTATCTATCTATCTATCTCAGTCCCTTCGTATCTATCTATCTATCTATCTATCTATCTATCTATCTATCTATCTATCTATCTATCTCATTCTGTTTCTTTCTATCTGTCTATGTATCCATCTATGTATTTATGTATGTATGTATGTATGTATGTATCTATCTATCTATCTATCAATTTCATTTTGTTTCTATCTATCTCAGTCTGGTTAAATCTATCTATCTATCTATCTATCTATCTATCTATCTATCTATCTATCTATCTATGTCAGTCTGTTTAAATCTATCCGTCTATCTCTATCGATTTCTCTGTTTGCTCATATCTATCTATCTATCTATCTATCTATCTATCTATCTATCTATCTGTTTGAGTCTTGTCACTGGATCTAATCCATTGTGCCATGTGTCCTTAAGGATGCCTGATACTTGCTGTATTGAGTAGTGAGTATCCACTGTACCATGTCTCCTTGAGTGACAGTACCCAAAGTGTTGTGAGTTCAATACCTGGTTAAGGCAGTGGAGAACTTGGTGAGGTGAATTAACAGGAGATAGCTGATAACTGACATCCATTAGACATGGCACGTGGAACTAGAACAGTGTACCCCAGTGAGCGAAATAAAGAGTCCAGTTCGACATTCAAACCACCCGAAGAACGCCATAGCGTACAACGATTTGAAAAATATGACAACAAAGATGAGGACAATAGTTCGAATAATGTAAATAGTGTACATAATACCTCATCTCAGAAATATAGACAGATACCTGTTTATTTAAAGGTAATGAAAATAACATCTACTGTGCAAGGTCTTCGAAAGTCCTATTGAAGAGATGCACAGTTGTTTTTAAGAAGACTTTCGTGATCTAGGTCGGTAGACATTAATTTCAGTGTTTGTAAATTAAGAAGGATGTCTCATGAATAATGTGTCCTCGCGAAATTTTACGTTTAATTTATGATAAAATATATCCGAAACGTTTAATTTATGATAAAATATATCCGTGTGTGTGTGTCTGTCAGTGCATCCATTACGTCTAGTGTCTGGCATCCAAGTATCTCTTTATTTATTTATTTTTTGCATAACCACTGATATAAAATAAGATAAAAAAATATTTTCGTAGACCAAGAAGCAAAGAAAAAAGAATGTAAATCCTTTTACTCAATACTGCAGGCATCAACCAGTCCGCTGTTCTGGCCGCAACCCTGACGAAACATTAAGGATGTCTCCCCGGTTTAACGAATTCCTGATGCCGACTGAAGAACTATCTATTTTTAGGAATTCTTTCGCAGATTACAGAAATACACCGGCATGTTTTCGCTAGCTTTCCTTCCATCTAAACGAGCGTGTGTTAGAATTTGGTAAACGTTTGTCACATGCAGCTAATCCAATCTTTCCCGGTGAATGTGTCCTCAGTCGGAACACTCCATTTCGATTAGTCTAGTTTCTGTTTTTCGATTAGTCATCAGCTGAAGTTATCTTGATCTGCTGCAGGCAGGCGACCTGGCCTGGGATAATGGTTTAATAGGCTAGCCCGTTTCACCATTAATAGTGCGTTGTGAGTTCAACCGTCACTGGGTCTCCCATGTGACATTCGACATTAAATAACACAAACGAGGATAGACATTATAAAATCAACCAGCCTAAACGAACTTAGGAGCCTCGATGTGGGATAATCGCCATCAAAATTATTCTAGATGATCAGTTGTGGGATCTATCATTGGGCACCCTATATAAAAATTCGACATTAAATAACATATCGCAAGCTCAACCAACCTACCTCTTAATCTAAGCGTGGAGTGCTGGCTTGCTTTTCTTTTTCCTTTTTAAGCTTTTCACTCCAAGCAAGCCGAGAGTGACACTATCACGAAAGGGGGTACAGAGAGTGGAAGCGAGAGTAAAGAGGAGTGTTTGTGAAAAAGGATAAAGAGAAGGACGAGAAATTAGAGCAAGGCATCAGAAGATGTCGATTGACGTTCAGTCAGGTATGTGCCACGCGTGATACACGCTTAGGCGATCATGTATCTTTCGATACATGACTGACGAGGCAGAATTTTCCCTCACAGCAAGTTGCCATTTCTTTCTGCGGTAGACCAGTTGCCATCCAAAACTATAGAACCTGGTCTGTCCTGATATTTACCCATAGCTGGTGGGTGGGGAGAAGAATCGGATTCATGCCTTTCCTAAGGGTATTAGCACGTAAGTGAATTTAATGGATTTGACTGGAAAGTCATTCAGTCAATTATGTGACATGCGTGATACACGATTAGCCGATCATGTATCTTTTGATATATGACTGACGAGGCAGATTTTTTTCCCGCAGTATGTTGCCATTTCTTTCTGCGGTAGGCCAGTTGCCATCCAAGGCTATAGAACTCGGTCTGTGCTGTTACTTACCCATAGCTGGGGGGAGAGGATAGGGTTCATACCTTTCCCAAGGGTATTAGCACGTAAGTGAATGTAATGGATTCGACTGGAATTCGAACTCGGCACTCTGATTCATCACTCTGAGCCGCTATCCATTACTTCACCGACTGTTACTACATTTGAATATTTGAATACTATAACAGTCAGGGAAGCAAGTAAGAGGAAGGGAGTTCCACAGAAGGGAAGTGCGAGACATGAAGCTATTGGAGTAGAAGAGACGGTTACATTTAACCGTTTCGACAGTGAAAGAGTGGAACTGAGGTATCAACCTAGTAGCACGCTTAAATTCATGCAGTTTGGGAACTAGAGAAATTAGCTCGTCGGAGCAGTTACCGTGAAACTACTTGTAGAAAAGACAGAAGGAAGCGACGGCGATCTATGAGAGAGCGACTGTAGGCGAGATGCCAGAACAGGACCCACCACATTCCATATTCGACTCTGGATTTTGTCGAGGACTTTGAAACGAAAAGCGAGGACTGTAGACCATATTTGTCCGCAGTAGTCCATACAAGGGCGAGTGGTTGATTTATAGATTTGAATCATGGACTCAGGCGAGAAAAAACCTTCTGGAGCGACACAGAAAACCAACTTTCCTTGCGGTAGATGAAGCTATTGATTCAATGTATTTGTTCCATCTTAGGTCAGCGGACAGCGTGAGACCAGGCATGGGAGTCAAAGAAGGTTCTCTGTGATGGGTAAATGAGAGCAGATTCGCAATAAATCATAGCAATTCATAGATAATAAAGAAAAGGTACTTTCAGATAGCTATGAGCGCGTACTTTTTGGGAGGATGCAGCATTATATATATATATATATATATATATATATATATATATATATATATATATATATATATAAACAACATGCCTGGCCGCACACACATTTCCGTAAAATCCTTGTCGAAAACACAATTATACTTAAACATGAAAAACAATAAAAAAAAACTAAAAATCCTTGAAGCAATATACATCAAACAGTTGAAACCTAACCTAAACAAAATCAACTATGGAATCTCTACAAATATCCTTAAATGTCTATAATAGATAACAGAAGCCATTGGTTTATACCAATGGCTTAATACGTCTCGAATTCACTCTCGCGTGGTCATGTGTGACGTCATGAGCTGCAGTGTGATTTTCGCTTCTAGAGTCTTATATGCACGTGTTTATCGTTGCTTGGAAATCATCCATGTAAACAATCAGAGACTATCATCACTGTCTTCTCCGTATATTGTTTAATATATTGTATTGTAATTGACATCTTTGATAATGGCTTATGTAAGCCAAAGGCTTTGATTGGATTAAAAAATATGGATCAATATTGTGATTTTCTTTCTTCGTTTAATGATAATGTTATTAACCTTATCAGATGTTATGAAAAGGAATTGCATAAAATAAACACTTGTCTATATTATTTAATGAAACATATATATATATATCCGAATGAGCAAGGTACTACATACGTAGGTTTCACCACATGGGATCATCAGGGTGAGCCAGTTGACCCTGATGATGCCATGTGGTAAAACCTAGGTAGGTAGTATCTGGCTCATTAGGATTTATTTATTTTAAGTTGCTGGACGATTTTTCGCCCTGTTCGGAGGTGCTTTTTTTACCCCATTTTTCGTCAGATGCCAATTTATTTGAAAATTGTGCTATCCAGGCTTTTTTTCACCCACCGACTTTAAATAGATTTACATTATATATATATATATATATATATATATATATATATATATATCCCAGAAAGGGATACATTTCTTCGAAAGTGGTTGTTGACTACTGTAACCGAGTAGGACAATCTAGTAGGTAACCGTAATGGACTGGTCCTCGTCGTAGTGGTAGGCAGTAGGCGTAGCCAATAGGCGTCGTCCTGTACCTCCACATCAGTCTGTATTTATGGCTGACACCATCCAGTCATATTACTGTGAGGGGAATCCAGGTGTATGCATATTCATTACATTAATATATATATATAATGAACATTGTTTAAAAACGACTAATAATTATGCACAAACCCATTATATATATATATATATATATATATATATATATATATATATATATATATATATATATATATATATCAAAGGATAGTGTTAGGCGTATTTCTAAATGGAAATGCTTGTCCACTCGCTAAGAAAGTATAGACAACAAACAGTCCGCGACAGCTGAATTAGTTATCGATTTACATTTTGTTCCTACATTAAATAACAAGTGTTCAAAAATCAAGCAAACAACCAACTGCTGGAGCCGCTCGTACAATAACAGTCCTTACGGTATAGGTCCCGAAACGATGTGCAAGAATTTTATGGATGTTATGACGTTCTTTGTATTTGTCTTGTATCATCAGCTCGTCGATGGGTTTTATGTGATGGTTTAAGAACGCATGCGCATTAACGCTTTCTACGATATTTTTCTACCTTTTTTTCTTCTTCTTACCAAATATTGATTAAATGTGTGGATGGTGTAGAGGAATAATGTTTTTAATCAGGAGAAGCAGACAAAATAGAAATAAAAATGAAAAAAAAAAAAAACCTTATGTCGAACAGACAAAGCTAAATGTGTTGATCAGAAAGGTTTATGAAAGCCAAAGGAAGACGAGACGATAAATGTGTTTGGAGATCAAAATACAGAAGCACATTACGCGCCATGATTTGAAACGCTAATAAAAACGCATAAATTATTTTATGGATTCATAGTCATTTATATGTTGAATACTTTTCCTGCATCTTGCGAAGAAAGAGCTAGAAATATTATTAAATATAGAAATACAACTCAGTCTCTCTTCATATATATATATATATATATATATATATATATATATATATATATATATATATATATATATATATGTAGTGGGAGGGGGGAGTTGGGCGAAAGTCCAACAAACTTTCTTGTAATACCAAAGATGAATTGAAGGCTAGGATTATGGCAACATTTATCATTTTAAACTC